GACGCCACACACTCAGAGCCAGATGCTGCGAGAAGCTGTTACTGCTACTTATCGGCCGGGCAGCACTGGCTACGGCCACAATCATAAGAGGGAACGACTGAATCCCCGCACCTCAATCCCCCACCCACTCAGACCCAGGCTGCCGACCCGGCCTGGCATGTCCCGGCACTCCTGGGTCCCCTGTACTCTGCTGGTTCCTCGCTGTGGTGTCCCGCAGCCAGACCCTTTCTGCGCTTCTAGGAGCCCACCTCGAGCGGCTGGGAGGCATCGCGTGGGGCTCACGAGTTCCACGCTGTCATCTACACCAGCTCCCACCTCCCAGGCACCTCTTCCTCCCGCACTGTGAGGTCTCCTGCCTCCGCGGCATTTGGCAGATCTGAGCCCGGTCCCTGTCGCTCCGCGAGCCTCACTGGCTGCGGACTAGAAGCAGCAGGAGCCCACAGGCCACCGTGACTCAGCCGCCTTTGTCGATGCAGCCGATGGTCGGTTCACTGGTCTCGGTTCGCTGTCCGCTGACAGGCTGCTGTCTACCCAGAGGCTGCTCCGGGTCGTTCCAGCCGTGGATCATGCCTCTGCCCAGCCTCGGAGTTTGAGACTGGGCAGGGAGTGGGTGGGGTGCGCTGGCTTTATGGGAAAGGTGGGTCTGGTAGGAGAGCAGGACTGAGCAGCCAGATGGGGTGGGGATCTAGTGGCAGGCAGGGAAGCCAGGCACGGCCACTTTCCTTCTGCCCGGCCCCTTGGCATCCTCGAACGGGCTGCGCTGCTTCTACAGCCTCTCCCAAGGACCAGGAATCCTCTCTCAAACCAGTCCTTGTCCACAAGCCCGAAGGAGCGTGGCAGGAGGATCAACAGGAGGGAGCAATAAACTAGAACTGGAGAACCCAGGAGGGCTTCTCTGAGGAGGTGCACGATCAGGATCCCCACAGATGGAGAAATGGGAAGGAACTTGATTGGGGTGAAGGAACCGCTTGAGCAAAGGCAGGGAGGCCTGACAGCGCCCTTCATTCTGGAAGCTCCTCCTTGCTTTCAGGACTCAGTTTCCTGGGTCCCCCTTCACAAACCCTCATCTTACAGTCTAGAGTCTGAAGGTCTCTCGGTCCCTCCCTACTCAGTCATGCCCTTCTTTGAAACGTACACGTGTCTGAGGCACTTCTAAGGAGCAGCCTTTGCCTCGGTGGTTTTCAGTTTCCTCACCTCCCGCGGAGACCATGGCCATGGTCATTTATCCAGTTGACAAACATCCACAAGGGCCTGACCTGTCATCTGAGCTGCTGTGACCCGGCACTGCCGCCTATGTTGCAGGGGAGGCTCTAACGCTACCTGGGGGTCCAGAGACACTGAACCCTGACAGGCCAGAGGCATAACTCCACCTAGGCACAGGAGGTGCCATGGCCCTGTAACCACAGGTTTTACAGTGTCTGAAGCCCAGAGGTGGAGGCTACAGTGATGTGTGATTGTGCCACTGCATTCTACCCTGGGTGACAAAACAAGACCTTGTCTCAAAAAAAAAAAAAAAAAAAAAAAAAGGAGGAGGTAATTCAAATATATTTCACCATAAAGCTGATTAAAAAAAAAAATTAACTATTAAGTCTAAACAGTAATCCTGGGAACCGATTTTGGGAAAGTATATTGTACATCTGCAAAACTGAAAAACATGCAGAGATATGCAGTTGGTGCTCTGTAATAAACGCTTTCAGAATGTAGTGGGAACATTATGCACCAATCAGTGTTCATTGACTGAAAGTCTCCTCCTGCTCTCAAATTCAAGTCATTCCAGGCTGACATTATCTTTGTCTACCACCGGGTAGCCAAAATGGGCAATGTGGGTGTTCTGGTCTTTCACCCCAAACTTCAAAAGGCTCTGTAGTTGGGCTTAAAGGCCGTGGGTGGAAAGAAGGAGACCTTCCCTGAAAACCGTGCCGTGTGAGAGGCAAGTTGGTCAGAGGTAGGGGCATAAGGGGGATTATTAGGGCTTCATGGACAGGCATACAGCCTCTAATGACAGAGAGAATATACTTGGGTGGGAGAACCAAGAGGCCAATTGAACATAATTGGCCACCTTTGCACACTGAGATAAAATATGAGGTTTTTGCAGAGCGGGGCAGGAGAAAAGTTTAGGGACAACAATGAGGTAAGTAGGAAAATAATCATGTGGATACACACGGTGAGTTCGAGGATGCTCAGGGGTTGGAAAGTGTTGGCAGGGGGAATTTGAAAGGTGAGAGGACATCTCCCTGGATAGAGAGGCTCCTGGGAGCCAGGGGACAGGAATCTCTTGGCAAGTGTGCTAATATCTCATGCCAGAGTGGCTCTAAGGCAGTGTCTGTAAACCACTGAGAAGAAGTGAGCAAATCCCAGGAGACGTGGCCACTGAGGAAGCAGCTGGCTTTCCTGGCCACTGTGCAGGCAGCCCAGGCTCAGGGGCCTATGGACAAGCCCAGCTCCTACTCTTACAAAAGCGTGGGTGAGTCACCTCTGCAGGACATCGATAGTTGATGGGTGGCTGGGCTTGTTTTTTTGTTTGGTTGGGTTGGCTGGTTTTTTTGAAATGGTGTCGTATGTTGCCCAGGCTGGAGTGCAGGCTGTGATCTCGGCTCACTGCAACCTCCGCCACCTGGGATCAAGGGATTCTCCTGCCTCAGCCTCCTGAGTAGCTGGGATTACAGGAGTCGCTACCATGCCTGTCTAATTTTTGTATTTTTAGTAGAGATGGGGTTTCACCATATTGGCCAGGCTGGTCTTGAACTCCTGAGCTCAGGTCATCCCCCAACCTTGGCCTCCCAAAAGTGCTGGGATTACTGGTGTGAGCCACTGCCCCCGGCAAAAGGTTGCCATCTGTTAACCAGAGAACAAGTCTTACAGACACCAAATCTGGCTGGGCACCTTTGATCCTTGATGTCCAAACCTCCAGAATTATAAACAAACATATTTCTTAAATATAAGGCACCTAGTTTATAATATCAACCTGTAGTATTTTAAGTTTTATATCAGTAAGAGTGAAACTCTGCATTTTTTGAGATAGGTCTTACAGTTGCCCAGGCTGCAATGTAGTGGCACAATCACCACTCACTGCAGCCTTTGACTGCCCAGGCTCACTGATTGCCAGCCTCAGCCTCCCGAGTAACTGAGACTACAGGTGTGTGCCACCACATCCAAATACTTTGCATTTGTTTGTAGAGACGGCATTTTCTCCATGCTGCCTAGGTTGGTCTCCCGAACTCCTACCAAGCTCAGAGGCCTCCACCTCGGCCTGCAAAAGTGTTGGATTAAAGGCATGAGCTAAATTACCGACTAACCGGTAACTTTACTCTATTTATTAATTTATTTATTTATGAGGCAGGGTCTCGCTTGTGATCTCCAAACTGGAGTGCAGTGGTGCAGTCTGGCTCACTGCAACCTCTGCCTCCTGTGTTCATGTGATTCTCGTGTCTCAGACTCCCAAGTAGCTGACATGCTAGGTGTGCACCATAAAGCCTGGCTAATTTTTGTATTTTTAGTAGAGACAAGGTTTCACCATGTTGGCCAGGCTGGTCTCAAACCCCTGACTTCATGATCCGCCCACCTCGGCCTCTCAAAGTGCTGGGATTATAGGTGTGAGCCATTGCACCTAGCCTAGCCAGTAGTATTTTTGCTATAGCAGCTGAATGGACTAAGACACTAGGATTCCGGTATCCAGGTTTTCTGTTGGACACTCAGATATAAGAGCACCTGGGGCTTGTGGGAGAGGCACAGACAGAGGCTTTTTAAGAATTTATGCCGGGCGCGGTGGCTCAAGCCTGTAATCCCAGCACTTTGGGAGGCCGAGGCGGGCGGATCACCAGGTCAGGAGATCGAGACCATCCTGGCTAACACAGTGAAACCCCGTCTCTACTAAAAATACAAGAAAAAATTAGCCGGGCGTGGTGGCGGGCGCCTGTAGTCCCAGCTACCCGGGAGGCTGAGGCAGGAGAATGGCGTGAACCCAGGAGGCGGAGCTTGCAGTGAGCCGAGATCGCGCCACTGCACTCCAGCCTGGGGCACAGAGCGAGATCATTCTCAAAAAAAAAAAAAAAGAATTTATTTTTACTTTTAAGACTCCTCTCAGGATGAATGGATAGGCTTTCTCACACTCAGGTGTGGGCAACATTCTTCAGATGACCTCCCTCTGGGGTGGGAAAGGCCTGGGGCTCAGAGAAGAGAGAAGGCAGGAGAAGGTGGAGGTGAGGGACGACAGTGCCTAGGGCTCAGTGGGTTGCTGGTGAGATGGGTTTCACTGGGGGATCTTATCTAGTGTCTTATCAGAGCTCACTGCGGGGATCTATGTGTCTAAAAAGAGAGGACTCCGTGGCAGGTTTGCAACTGACATCATGCAGTAGCTTCTTCTATTCTCTTTCTTTTGAACGGAGTCTCGCTCTTTTGTTGCCCAGGGTGGAGGCAGTGGCATAATCTTGGCTCACTGCAACCTCTCATGCCTCCTGGGTTCAAGGGATTCTCCTGCCCAGCCTCCTGAGTAGCTGGGATTACTGTGTGCACCACTGTGCCCGTCTGTTTTTTGTATTTTTCAAAGAGATGGGGTTTCACCATGTTGGCCAGGATCATCTCTAACTCCTGTCTTCAGGTGATCTGCCCAACTTGACCTCCCAAAAGTGCTGGCATTACAGGCATGAGCTACAGAGACTGGCTCTATTATTCTTTTTTATTTTTAATTTTCTCATGTTCCTTCTCTCTTATATTTTGTTTTCTTTGTTTTTTTAAAAATCTTTCTTTACTTGTCACTGACTTGAAACTCAAAACTTTCCTATTTAGTTTCTAATCACTCTCTCTTTCTTTTTTATTTTTTTTTTTGAGAAGGAGTCTCACTCTGTTGCCCCCTGACTGGTCTCTAACCTCTTGGCCTCTGGGCCATCCTCCCATCTCAGCCTCCCAATAGCTGGGATTACATATATGAGCCCTCATGCCTGAGTAAGTTCTACAATGCTTTCTGAATGGATGGACGGGAAGAATGAATGAATGGCTATGAATGAAGGAATCAAGTTTTCTCCTTAGTGGGTGTGTGTGGGCACAGCAGGCTGACACTCGCCTGTAAGCGAGCCCAACCCCTCCTCCCTGGCACAGGGAGCTACAGCTCTGTGTGTTTCTCTTCAGGCTCCTCAAGCTCCTGGATCTTCTGCTGGGGCAGCGCCTTCTTCCAGAACTGGAACCTGTGGGCCTTCAGAGCCCGGCCCACTGCAGGCTGTAGGTTCAGCTGCAGGTATTGCTCCTGCTGGCTCGAACAGCGACAGTGGCAGACCCTCGCCATTGGGGTTCCTGTAGACATGCTTGGCCCAGCAGGGCGATACGAGGGTCATTCTGAGCCCCGCGGAGCCCAGACCTGAGCACCTGAGTCTGGTCAGGCAGCCAAGCAGGCCAGGTGGGCTTGGGGTAGAAGGAGGCTTCCAGAAACAGGAAAACAAACTCCCTCCAGCTAGAGGCCAGCCCCAGTGGGGGCGGGGCAGCTGGTTTGATGTGTCCCTCTCTCTGAGAGGGAGACTCCTGACGGTGGCACAGCACTGGTGCCCACCCTCCAGGTAGAGTGGGGAGATGGAGCGTGTCCACTGCCTCACGGCACCCTACCCTGTCCAAGGGGTCCCACGGCTGGGGAAGGGGCTATCATGTGATTAAGGATGTGGGTGTGCTCATGAGGTCACCCCAGACTAGGAGATTACTGGATGGGCACAAGCCCCCTAACCTGGGGAGGTTGAGGCAGGGGTAGCCAGCTCTCACCCGGCTTTGAGCAAAGTTGGCCCAGTAATTTCATCACCGCCTGCTTAGCTGCTCCTCCTCTCAGTGAATTTTAACTGCAGAGAGGAAGGACATGTATCTTAGTCAGGATGGCTCACCTCAGCATCCCAGGGGAGCTTGTCCAGCGCCCCCAGCCCTCGGCCCCCAGCAGTCCCGCTTCTCTGCTTTTTCTCCCACTGCCCTCAGAAGCCAGTCCTCCCCTTTTCCAAACTTTCCCCTTAGCCCAGGCTCTGACTGGATCGATCCTTCCTGGTCCTGCTGGGCTCCTTCTTCCTTCTGCCTGTGGGAGTCATTCAAGAAACAAACATGTCCCTGAAACACCTGCTCTGAACCAGGCAGACACCTGGGCGTGGGGAGGGATGGAGGAAGCACAGGCCACAGTCTGAAGAGTCATGAATTCTAATCCTGGCACAGCCTTTGGAGCTGTAACATCTTGACACTGATCTCATCCTGTCTCTGAGCCTCAGTTTCCTTATCTGGGCAGTGAGGACAATGAATCACCCCTCAGGGACCCAGCCAGGGACCCAGCCCACCTCCCGGGAAAGGAATAAGACTCACCATAGTTGCCCCAGAAGAAATTTCCGAAAACAAAAGGAATCTCATCACCATGGTCTGCCTCTCTCTGCCATGGGCGCCTGATGTTCTTTGACCCAGCTAGGCTGATGCTGGAACTCATAGAAGTACACAGGGCCCGAACTCAGGGTGGACAGCTCGTGACACAGTGGCCCCTCCCATGAAGACTTTTGCCTACCCATGGGGATAAGATACCCAGGTCCAATGCTGGCTGGAATCTGGCAGGGCGTGGAGCCTCAGGCTGGGGCAGGAGCAGAGGAAGAGACGTGATAACCGTCATGGCCTCGGATTTCTTAGCTGTATCATCTTGGGAAAGACACTGAAGGTCCCTAACTTCAACTTCTCATCTGTGAAACGGGAATGTCTGTCTCTTTAAGAAGCCATGAGGATTTACTGCAGTGATGGACTCCCCAAGTGTCCGCTGAACCCAACAAACATGAGTGGGGACCCGGATAGCAGCAGGAGCCCACTCTAGGACCTACAGCTCCTGAGCTGTACTCCCTGAAGGTCAGGCCTTAGGTCCAACATACTCACGCTGAAAATGTGTTACTTGGAGTGCAGGGATCACTTAACATGGAGTCTGCCATTATCTCCTGCAGTAACTGGGCTTGGTGGCTCCGGGTTCCTAATATTCCATTGTACTCTTCCATCAGCAGGTCATCAAATGTAGGCGGTGCAACATCTACCCCAGGTGGATCAGGAAGAGGCAGGTTAGGCTGGATGTCAGGGGCAGGGAGGAGGTGGCCTCGAGCCGGGGAGACGGACCGTGAAATGAACAGGAAGTGGGAGCAAAGGCATGGCTCTGAGGTGACCCCACCCCCAAGCACACACACACTCGGGCCTTTGCTCATGGGGGTCACTATGACAGGCAGGGTATCTGGGGTTGAATTTCCTCTGCCTCAGGACAGGAGAGGTTTTTCTCCGGCGAGGGACCCCATAGGAGCCTTACCATCAGCGCTAATATTTTCTGAACAGCCTGGAAGGCCTCTCTGTCCATTTCCTTCTGGGTGTCATATAGATACTCCGTGACCTGTGGCTAGGAGAGAGTCTGTAGTTGGGGATGGGATGAGCCTGGAACTACAAAGCCCTGAACACTCCCCACTACCCGATGGGCTCCCCAGGCACTTGAGGGCTTGGGCCTCACTTTGGGGATGATCCAGCCGGGATCTACTGTTGTTGATACCAATGATGCTGGGGACAGCTTGAAAGTCGGCAGAGGCCAGCAGCCCGGGATGCCTGGGCAGGAAGACCCCATCGACTACACCAGGGATCATCATGTTGAACGGCTGAGGGGAAATGCAAGGTCAGGGAAAAGGTCAGGTCCTGTACACCTTCTGATGACCACTGAGTACCTTCCACTCCTTTTCCTGGTTCACCTCCAGATGCTCATGATCCACCCCAGGAGATAAATGCCTGGCCTCGGCATGCACCAACCTTCAGTCTCCACCCAGGGCTATGATACCCAGGAATGCAGATGAGGTGCCCAGGGAATATGAGGAGCATGCAGGCCTGAGAGCCCCATGCCTATTGCACTCCCTCTTCCTCTACACCCACATTCGTTTAGACCGACTTGTTAATTGCAAGAATCTCCTCTTTACTCTTTGCCCCGCAGGCAGTTCACCAGGGCCTCAGGAGTCAACTTTGTTCACAAGCAGACAGGTTGGCCACCACCTGGAAAGGAGCAGGCAGGAGCTGACTCCATCCTTCCAGGTAGAGGAGGGAGTTTGCCCAATGCCCTGGCCAAGAACAGGGCACCCCAAATCTCAGGGTATTCCATATGAATTTCTGCAGGTCTGACACTGCCCCAACTCAGAAGTCCCAGAAAGAAGGACCATCCCATCTGCCTAGATGGTTCTCCTCATGATGGATCCTTAGGTGACAACTTTGCACAGAGGACACAGAACAAACTTGGCCTCTGCAATGGCAGAAGGATGTGCATTCTGACCCTGAGCCCCTCAGCAAATTCCAAGGTAGGCGGCAGCTCCTGGCATGCTCTCCCATGGCCCTGTCATCCCCACTTAACAGAGCAGAGGGCTCTGAGGGGTATGAGAGAGGTAGCAGGCCTAGGCCTCTACAGCTGAGGGCACTCACCGTGGAGATAACATCAGCTGAGCTGGCAATGAGGCCCGGCAGCAGGGCCACGCCACTCTCCATGATGGCCCCATGGAAGAGTCCTTGGGACATGGGGGACACAACAAGTGAAGACACACTCGTGCCACCCGCAGACTCGCCAAAAATGGTGACACGGTCAGGCTGCTCCAAAGTGGGCGATATTCTGCTGACCCAGCTAGTGAGTGCAGCCACTTGGTCCAGGTAGCCCCAGTTGCCGGTTGCATGCTTGTCTCCAGCATGAAGTAGCAGGAATAGGATCACAGGGGCTGTTCCTGGCCCCGCCTCAGCCCCGTTGCTCCAGCCCAGCCTTAGTCTCACCTGAAGAAGCCCAGACACCCAGGCGGTACTGATGGTGACCACCACCACATCCTCAAAGGCGGCCAGCATGGAACCATCATACATGGAAGCCATGCCAAAACAAGCCCACCACCGTGATCCACACCATCACCTGGGGAAATCAAGGCAGCTACCATGATGCTCCAACTCAGCCTGAACCCCAGCAGGCCACTACCTAGACCAACCAGTGCTTTGCCTCTGTCTACCTCCCCATTAGAACTCCAGCACAAATAAATTATGTGGGCCACAGGTCAGGCATCAAAGATCTATCAGGAAGACCAGGCCTCCAAACCTTGGGTTTTACTCTTGTTTCAAAGCATGGTTTCCTTTGGGTCTGAGAAAACACACCAAAGTGGAAAGAAAAGGGTGATGGCTCCACATGAATATTAATAAACATGTCGTTAGCCTGAAGAACATAGACTCTGCTTGAACAGAAAATGTTTTAAAATTAGGGGTCTTGCAGTCCCAGCTACTCAGGAGGCTGAGGTGAGAAGATCGCCTCAGGAATTTGAGGTTACTGGAGAGCTATGTTCATGGCACTGCATTTTAGCCTACAGAGCAAGATGCCATCTCTAACAAAAAAACTTTTGTGAGTGCCCATTCTCATAGACCCAACAGATTATCCATGGCTGGGATTTCGGTAACCTCAAGGTGCAGCCCCTGGGCACTGAGTGGATGTCCTGGGTGTGAGTTGGCTGGGTGAGTCCTGGGTCCAGCCCAGAGCCACAGCCTTGACCTCCCGGAGCAGCCAGAACTCTGTGACTCCTCATGCCCAGGGGCCAGCTGCTCCAGCCTGGGTAAGGAGCATTTCTGGACCTGGACAGGCTTTCAGTATGGTCCACTCTGCAGCAGGGCCTGACCTAATATTGTCTTCCAGCTTTGCAGAACTGTCATCCAACCCTGCGAATCCGTGGCCTGACACTCACCGGTAGGCTAGAGCCTTCGTGGCTGTAGCCGGGCGCAGATGCTGAGATACAGGCAGTCCTCTCAGACATGGAGGATGGAAGGATGGTCACATTGACTTGGCTCTGAACCTCTGAATCCATTGTGGTGAGGTCCTGAAGACACCTGGTAACCAGAGCAAACAATCAGTCCAGCGGCCACATCACGACCAAAACCAGACCCTGGGTTCAGATGTTCCCCCAACCACCCTCAGCCCCTTCTCACAATATTCTGCTCACACATGATCCCTTTCAAAAATCCCTTCCCACCAAGTTACAGGCCACAGGTTCTGGGGAAGCTGGGATGGGAGCTTGACTTCCAGGAGGTCTTGAGGTCACTTGAGGACCTTTGGGCATCATTCCTCCCAACATTGGAAACCTTGACTCTCAGGGGTTTCTCTGAGAACCATTGGCTGCATGTGTTGACATTCACCACTATATCGCTGTACCCCTTGCCAGGCCTGGGATAGGAATAGCCCACATATGTGCTACATGAGGAATGGATGTTAATTTCTTGAGAAGGGCAGTGGGATGTCCTCATCCCAAGTCTAAACTCTCAAAAAACTCACTATTCCCACATGGCCTCTCCAGTTGGAAAATATACACGCCCTTGGCCAATGGCTCCTGGCCCTGTCGGTGGACACAGTGACCAAGTGCGGGTCCCCAGAAAGTTACCACTACTGTTCTCTCTTCCAGCTATTTGCAACATCTGCCACTAGAGTTAGGGGGCTCCTTACAAGGTTCATAGAGCTACACGAAACTTTCCCAGAGACACCTCGCCACTGGTGGCAAAGAAAGCTTGGCATAACCAGAATCTGGGGAGATCTGTGTCTCTGCCCCTCCCTTCAGCACCTGGAGCCAATGTCTCCCGAATGCCAAGCCTTGAGCCAGGAGTCTGAGAAGTTATTCACCCTCCCGAACCTCAAAAGAGCTGCTCATTGAAAATGCACGTGAATCCACGAAACTCAGAAGAAAACTGGCTGTGGGGGTTTAGGTGACATGACAATTGCAGCCTAGCTGAGCTTAGAGCACTTCCACTCCCCTGCCCCAGGTCTTGGAGTCTCTGGCCCCCGGGAGAGCTTTTACACATCCGGATGGGTGGTTCCAGATCCCCACCACTCCAAGATTCAGGGGGTTCAGGGGTGCAAATCGCAGCGGACCTAGAGGTGGCTTGGCAAAGGGAATTCCCAGGAAGGTATGGACTTCGCATCAGCGCTCTTCACATGGACAAGACTCCCAGAACCTGGCCCGTGTGTGTGGTCCGGATGGGACTGGCAGAGTCCTGGCCTGTGGGCAGAGAGACAGATATCACAGTTGGGTCTGTCCAATCGGTTGCTCTATAGACTGTTGGTATTGCTGCCTCCTCATCCTCTCAGCTCACCTCAAGGGATCCTGATCTATAAACACAGGCTTTACAAACTTCCCCGCCTGTAACACCCTTCCCGCCTGCCTTCCTGGGCCTGTCTCCATCCCACCAGCTGAGGCTTGGGGCCCGGCATCATCATTCAGCCCCCAGGACTCAAACAAGGGGTCACATGCCTTGCTGGGACTAGAGTGTCTTCAACTGTGTGCCATGTCATGTGACAGTAGGATGATGGTAGGAATTGGGCAGGCAAGGTTCCTGTCTCCCAGGGATGTCATGTCCAAGGTGGCAAGAAATGACATAAATAAAGCATCCTCCAAACCATGAGTGATGTTGGTGAAAGAGCTATAAGAGAGAAGTATGGACAGGGATTGGGACATAAAAGCACTGCAGCGGTTCTGGGACCCAGGTGGAATTCTGTTCTGCAAAAAAAATCAAGAAAATGAATTATCGGGTGTGTTGGTGCATGCCTGTAGTCCCAGCTACTTGACCGACCGGCTAAGGTGGGAGGACTGCTTGAGCCTGGGAGGTTGAGGCTACATGAGCCATGATCGGGTCACTGCACTCCAGCCTGGGTGACAGAGTGAGAACCTGTCTCAAAAAAAAAATAAAAACAAAAACAAAAAAGTACAGCCTCTGGGTGTGGTGGTGTGGGCCTGTATTGGCATGGTGGTGTGGGCCTATATTCCCAGCTACTCAGCTACTCAGGAGGCTAAGGCAGAAAGGGTTCCATGCTGCATGAGCTATGATCTGGCCCTTGTACTCTAGCCTAGGCAACAAAGCAAGACACAGTCTCCAACAGTAAAAACATAGCATGACTGCTGTAGAGATCAAGGAGGGAGAAAGTGACTGAAAATCACCTAACAGAGAAAATCAGTCCCCTTCATAGATAAAACACTTCTACAAACAAAGAATATGACAACTACACAAAAGGAAAAGCAGCATAAGAATATGTTCAGAATAAGCAATACAAATCAGTGTCTCTCAAATAAACAGAGATCTTTACCTCATTCATAGTAAGAGTAATGCACGTTGAATTCTCACTGTGATGTCAACCACTCATTTTGTCGTATCACAAAAAGCAAGGCAACCAGATATTACATATTTTCTTTCAGAAGTACACAGCACCACATGTGAAGTAGTACTCCAAAAAACAAAACAAAATAAAACCTAAAACCCAAATCTGATTATGCCTCTAAAATATAAATACAAGTTTACAGGGTCGACAGGGGACAGAAGAACAGTTAGAAGACTCCACTGGGAAGCAATCGGCAAAACCTAACTGCTGGGATCCTCTCCAGAACAAATAAAGTGGTTTCTTCAACATGCAACAAAATTTAGAAAGAACATAAAAGAAAGGCAGAAGGTAAATTTGGAGACTGAAAGAGATTCAAGAAACACATAAAAATGACATATGATAAGTGTTGGTAAGAAAGCGGAAAACTTGGAACTTTGATACATTGCCGGTGGGAAGGTAAAATGGTGCAGCTGCTTTGGAAAACAGTCTGGCAGTTTTTCAAGGGATTAAACATAGAGTTGCCATATGACTCAGCAATTCCATTCCTAAGTATAAATCCAAAAGAATTGGCGGGACATGGAGGCTCACGCCTGTAATTCGAGCACTTTGGTAGATCAAGGTGGGCAGATCACCTGCGGTTAGGAGTTTGAAACAAGCCTGGCTGATATGATGAAACTCTATCTCTCTACTGCAAATACAAAAATTAGCCATGTGTGGTGGCATGTGCTTGTAATTCCAGCTACTTGGGAGGGTGAGGCATGAGGATCCCTTGAACCTAGGGGGCAGACATTGCAGTGAGCCTGGGCGACAGAGTGAGACTCTGTCTCAAAAAAAAAAAAAAAGAAAAAAAGAAATGCCTACCAATTTGCAAAGTAGGAACCTTATTTGAATCCTGATTTAAAAAAAAAACAAACTTGTATTAATACAAGTATCATTTATAAACATTAAAAGAATATTCGATTATATATTTGATTAAATTGAGAACAGTATGTTATGGAAATACACACATACATTTATGTTACTTTTGTTTTAGTAGGACATGATGAAAAATTTACAGATGAGATGATATCTGGGATTTGTTTCAAATAACGGTGCAAGGGGGAGGTGGCCATCCAGAAAACACCCGGTTATATTCAACCTGAGAAAGCTGATTTAAAACAAAAACAAAAACAAGATCTTTGTCATTGCTGAAGGTGGACAACGGGTACGTTGGATTTGGTACATTACTCTTTCTACCTGAGACTTGGCTCATCCCTTGGTGCTGTGCAGCCCTCTAGCAGCCTTGACCCTCTCTGTGCCTCAGGAAGGTTCACCTGCTGTAGTTATTCCCACCAGCTCCCACCTACCTGGCACCTTCCCTTTTGGAATCTCAGGTTCTGTTTCTGTAGGGTTTGGGAAATCTGAGCCCATTTCCATAATAAAAAGTCCAAACACAGGCCAGGCGCAGTGGCTGACGTCTGTAATCCCAGCACTTTGGGAGGCTGAGGTGGGTGGATCACTTGAGATTAGGAGTTCAAGACCAGCCTGGCCAACATGGTGAAACCCCATCTCTACCAAAAGATACAAAAATTTGCTGGGTGTGGTGCCGTGTGCCTGTAGACCCAGCTATTTGGGAGGCTGAGGCATGAGAATCGCTTAAACCCACCAAGCAGAGGTTGCAGTAATTCGAGATGGCACCACTGCACTCAAGCCTGAGCAACAGAGTCAGACCCTGTCTCAAGAAAAAAAAAAAAAAGTCAAAAAACAAAACAGCCTTAGGGTGCCAATGCCACCCTACACCTGTCAGTTTAACATGGATCAATATGTTTGATGCCACCTGGTGTGGGTGAGGCCGGGGTCAGTAGACATTTATAGGCACCAGACAGGACATTTTAACAATGTCTCCAAGTCAAAAGGCCCATTCCTCTCCCAGTAACACGCTCCTGCACACAATTCCTTGCTGGAGGGGATGTCTATCCAGGTAATTCCTTGTGGCCACTGGCCACTGATACCTGATGGTTGTTACAGCAAAGGACATCACCTGCTGAAATGTCCCTGGTTAGAGACCTGTTACATCAACTCATGCAATAACGAGATTCATTACTTGCTTCATCCTTGAGAAGCCCTTCCATTAATCAGTATGAAGAAGCTCTACCATGTAAGGGTGTGTGGAGGCCACCCTATGTGTTAGAAAGTGGAAAAGCCCTGCCCCAGAAAGTAGGTGATTTTATGACCCTTTAGATGAAAATCAAGGACAAGTACACACATCTTTTCTTGTGTAAATTGCTGGGCACTGTGTGTACTGCAGTGTGAACAGGCAGTTTCCAGTGCATGCCATGGGGACTTTGATGACCCCTCAGGAGAAGCCAGGACTGGTTGGGTAAAAAGAGTACAGCACACATCACCTGTACCCTCCTATGGCTTGTCAATTATTTTTTCCTGAATGTGGGTCCAACCCAAAATTGTGTGTGTATGTGTGTGTGTGTGTATGTGTATGTGTGTATATATTGCCAGACAAGGTCTCCATCTGTTGCCCAGGCTGGAGTGCAGTGGTGCGATTACAGCTCACTGCAGCCTCAGCCTCCTAGGCTTGAGATCCTCCCATCTCAGCCTCCTGAGTAGCTGGGAGTACACATGTGTGCCACCATGCCTGACTGTTTTTTTTTTTTTTTTGATAGAGACAAGTCTTGTTGCCCAAGCTGGTCTCTAACTCCTAGCCTTAAGTGATCCTCCCATCTCCATCTCTCAAAGTGCTGGGATAACAGGTGTGAACCACTGTGCCTGGCCCAAAATATTTTAAAAGGTAGCCATCTGTGAGGCCGGGCAAATCTTCATGCCTGGGCTCCTGGTGAACTCTAGAATGTGGTCAAGGGCAGGAGTGAGAGGAAGCCCTGCAGGAGTGCATCATGGGGCAGGGGGAGTATGGACTCCACCTGGGCAGATTAAATTGGGAAAGGCTCAGGAGAGACAGTCAGATCATACACTTAGGAGAGTTTCGGGTGAGAGGACCAAAGGCCTCTGATAAGAAGGCCTCTGATAAACACTCCCGGAGTTTCTGATAAGGGCCTGGAGAAGCCTGGCAGGCACACAGAGCCATCATCTTTGCCCCGGAAGCCAAGTTGTGTACTTGCCCAGGATGAGGTAAATGGCGTGAGGGACACCACGAGCTCTTTGGCTTTTTTTTTTTTTTAAGACAGATTTTTGCTTTATCACCCAGGCTGGTGGAGTGCAGTAGTGCGATGAAGGCTCACTGCAGCCTCAACCTCCCCTGCTAAAGTGATCCTCCCACCTCAACCTCCCAAGCAGCTGGGACTACAGGTCACAGGCCACCACAGCCCACTAATTTCTTTTAATTTTTTGTATATTCTGAGTCTCACTATGTTGCCCAGGCTGGCCTCCAACTCCGGGGCTCAAGCGATTCTCCCCCTCGGTCTTCCAAGGGGTTGGGATTACAGGCGTTGAGTCAATCGCACCCAGCCACTTCCGCCTCTTGGATCTGCTTTAGGATCTGGCACCCGGGGGCTTCTGTTCCCCAAGGACCACTAACCTTGTCTGAGGCCCCTTTGGAGGAGTCAGGGCGCCCCCCTGGCTAAGGACGCAACACACTCAGAGCCAGATGCTTTGAGAAGCGGGTATTGTTATTATCGGCCAGCAGCACCGGCTACGGCCACAATCATGAGGGAAATGGATTGAATCCCCGCACCCTCAATCCCTCACCCACTCAGACCCAGGGCTGCCGACCCGGCCTGGCATGTCCCGGCACTCCTGGGGCCCCTGTAGTCCGCTGGCTCCTCACCGTGGTGTCCCGCAGCCCAAACCTTTCCGCGCTTCTAGGAGCCCACCTTGGGTGGCTGGGAGGCGTCGCGTGGGGCTCACGAGTTCCACGCTGTCATTTCCACCAGCTCCCACCTCCCAGGCGCCTTCCCTCCCGCACTGTCAGGTTCTGCCTCCGCAGCATTTGGCAGATCTGACTCCAGTCCCTGTCGCCCCTCCGCGGGAGCCTCACCCTGGCCCTGGACGAGAAGCAACAGGAGCCCACAGGCCACCGCACTCAGCCGCGCGCGAAGTCGGTGCAGTCGCATGGTCGGCTCGCTGGTCTCGGTTCGCTGCCGGTGGACACGCTGCTGTTCACCCAGAGACTGCCCCGGGTTTGGCCTCGCCCAGCCTCGGAGTTTGGACTGGGCAAAGAGTGCGCGGGGTGCGCTGGCTTGGGCCAGGAAAAGGTGGGTCTGGCAGGAGTTCAGGATCCCCATAGATGGAGAAATGGGAAGGAACTTGATCGGAGTGAAGGAACCGCTTGAGCAAAAGCAGGGGGGCCTGAAGGCGCCCTTCATTCTGGAAATTCCTCCTTGCTTTCGGGACTCAGTCTCCTGGGTTCCCCATCAGGTCCCTCATCCCCTTACAGTCCAGGGTCTGAGGGTCTCTGCGGTCCCCTCCCTACTCAGTCACGCCCTTCTTTCGAAACGTACACGTGACCGCGGCACTTCTTAAGGAGCGCCCCCCTTTGCCTCTGTGGCTTTCAGTTTCCTCACCTCCCGCGGAGACCACGGCCATGGTCATTTATCCACTTGACAAACATTTCACGAGCGCCTGCCGGTCCGAGCGATGAGGACACCGCACTCCCGGGCCTATGGTGCAGCAGGGGACGCAGGCGGCTCACCGGGAGGTCCCGAGACACAGGGAGCCCTGCCAGGCCAGAGGCGACCAACTGTCGTGGATACGGGAGCTCTCGGCCAACCCGACTTCCCGGAGGAGGCGGTGTGGGGACCACCTCCGACCGCCTTTTGTGCCCCCGAGACCTGGCTCTGGCCTCTACGTTTCAGCCCGCTACGGGCTCGCATGACCCAGCGCCACCGGGGTCCCTTCTCAGCGCCTTTGCTCCAGCGACCATCACGTTCCCGGGTCCGCGCAGCCAGCATCGTGGTCACCGTTTATCTCACACCTCAGGCGGAGAACCCCCAACGCGGCGTGTCCCTCGTGCGACCCCGTCGCCACGCCACGCCCCCTTCCCGTTCTCCGGAAGTGCGCGGGTAGGAGCGGAAGCGCACGCGCGCTAGGGTTGGCGGTGGTGATTCCGCGATGGTAGGCGGCGGCGGGGTCGGCGGCGGGGTCGGCGGCGGCGGCCTCCTGGAGAATGCCAACCCCCTCATCTACCAGCGCTCTGGGGAGCGGCCTGTGACGGCGGGCGAGGAGGACGAGCAGGTTCCCGACAGCATCGATGCACGCGAGATCTTCGATATCCGCCGCTGCTGGGCGCGGGAGGGTTCCGGGGGCTTGTGGTCGCGGGAGCGGTGATGTCCAGCGGCTGGTGGAGCCGCATCCCAGCCGGGCGTTCCTGGCAGAGAGTTCTGAGCGGGCAAGGGCGCAGAGTCCCTTTTCCTTCACTTCCCACATCTGATTCGCTCCATCAATGACCCGGAGCATCCACTGACGCTAGAGGAGTTGAATGTAGTAGAGCAGGTGCGGGTTCAGGTGAGTCACTTCCAAGGGGAGCGAATTGCTCCAGAGAGTCAGAAAGGTTTCTGTGCACCAGGAGCTGGCGTGCTCTCCGCTCACGGACACCGAAGGGTATCGTTGGGAAGGGAGATTGTTGTGCTTATTTTATGGGTGTTGAAGCTGAGGCCCATGGAAGTTGGATGATTTGCCCAATGCAGCAAACTAAGAAGAGGGGCTTTGGACTGAGGGTGGTTGACTCTTGACATGTTCCCTCCATAACCAGGTTAGCGACCCCGAGAGTACAGTGGCTGTGGCCTTCACACCAACCATTCCGCACTGCAGCATGGCCACCCTTATCGGCCTGTCCATCAAGGTCAAGCTTCTGCGCTCTCTTCCTCAGCGTTTCAAGGTCAGTTGGAGCTGAGCCTCGGGAATGGGACCAGGCATTGAGGGTCTACTGCTGAGGATGGGGACTGGGAGAGCATGAACATGGAGAGGACATCAGAGTGGGGCCTGGAAGGATCCCAGTTAGCAGAGAGGAAACTGGGAGGAAGGTTTTCAAGTCGATGTGACAAGAATAAAGATCTGAGCTGGAAAGTAGAGAAAAGTATTGAAGAGTGTGGCAGGAAGGGCAGCAGGGAGCTGCAGATGGGTTTGGACCAGGGATGGGGCACAGGCAGGCCTTTAAATCAGCAGTAGTGGGCAAGTTCTTTGGTTAGAATTGGAATAGCTAGGGCCGGGCACGGTGGCTCACGCCTGTAATCCCAGCACTTTGGGAAGCTGAGGTGGGTGGATCACCTGAGGTTAGAAGTTGGAGACCAGCCTGGCCAACATGGTGAAACCTCATCTCTACTAAAAATACAAAAATTAGTGGGGCGTGGTGGCGTGTGCTGTGGTCCTAGCTACCCGGGAGACTGAGGCGGGAGAATCAAATTGAACCTGGGAGACAGAGGTTGCAGTGAGCTGAGATCACGCTACTGCACTCCAGCCTGGGAAAGACTCAGTCTTGGAAAAAAAAAAAAAAAAAGAATTGGAATACCTGTGGATGGGTTTGGGGTGTAATGGAAGGGCCAGAGTCCAAAGGTATGATTAGGAGGAAGGATCAGCTGGAGATGGTGCCTGAGGGTTTGGGGGCTGCAGGGAAAAGTGTGGGTCAGTGGGTGGGTGTTCAGGCCCTGGTTATCTCCCTCCCAGATGGACGTGCACATTACTCCGGGGACCCATGCCTCAGAGCATGCAGGTAAGGGTGGACTGATGGTGAGGGTATTGGCCCAGGCACCCTAAGCAGTCTGAGGCTTCCCCTTTGCCCAGGAGTCTATCGGCAAGACAGGGAATGGGTAACTTCATGAGTGAAATTGCCAGAGACTCCTCAGTGTAGGTTATAGCCTAGACCAAAGCTGGCCTGACAAGAATCTCCTGTGCTTACCATGTCCTCTTCTCCCAAATCCCTTTCACCAAATATACAGGACCAGAGTGTGTCAGGCTTCAGCAGCGTGGGAGGCAGCCAGGGGGAGGGATCCTAAGAAGGCAGGCTAGGTGGGCTCAGGTGGTTGAAGTAGCCTGATCAAGGTGTGGGGTCCTGGGAAGGAGGTGACAGGAGGGCTCTGTTGCTGCAGGGGACATATCCTATACAGAGGTTCAGAGGTAGGGCTGGCTAGCACTCTGGCCAGAGCCTAGCTTTGACTCTGCCTTCCCCACACTCTCCTTCCCACCTAGTGAACAAGCAACTTGCAGATAAGGAGCGGGTGGCAGCTGCCTTGGAGAACACCCACCTCCTGGAGGTTGTGAATCAGTGCCTGTCAGCCCGCCCCTGAGCCTGGCCTTTTGCCCCTCAACCTGCATACTGGTGTCCTGGTCCCAGCTCCTGCCAGGGCTCTTACCCTTGTTTTCTTGAATCACTCACAATGAGAAACTAACATTTTGCTTTTTGTAATAAAGTTAATTTATATTCAGTTCCCAGCATGCTTTGGTGTCTTTCATCTTGATGGAGTCCTTTGGAGTTTGAGGGAGGATGGTGGTGGTAAGTGCCTCTGAAGGGTGATGTACTTGCAACTTTAAGTAAAACAAAATCAAAATGGAAAGAGTAGTGTATGAATGTGCCTGTATGCCCACCACCACCACTAGAGTCAGTAGTTGTTGACATATTACACACTGGCCTTATTTATGTGTGCATATATAAACATCAGTATATTTGCGAGTAAGCTGCAGAGACTTGACTCTTCACTTTGAAGTACTGCAGCTCCGTCTAGATGAGTAAGCCTGTATAGCCACAATACTTTCATCTGATCAGAAAATGAACAGTTCCTCAACACCATCTAATACCCAGGCATATCTGGATTTCCCTAATGTGTCATTCATAGTTGTTTTTGTTCTGTTTTTGAAACAGGGTCTTACGCTGTTGCCCAGGCCCAGGTGCAGTGGCAAGATTGTAACTCACTGTAACCTCCAACTCCTGGGTTCAAGCAATCCTCCAGCCTTGGCCTCCCAAGTAGCTTGGATTAATACAGTGGCACAGTTATACCTTTCTGCAGCCTTGTCCTCCTGGGCTCAAGCGATCCTCCCACCTCAGCCTCCGAATAGCTGGGACTGCAGGCGTGCACCACTGTGCCTGGCTAATTTTTTTTTTTTTTTTTTTTTTTTTTTTTGAGATGGAGTCTTGCTCTGTCACCCAGGCTGGAGTGCAGTGGCTGGATCGCAGCTCACTGCAAGCTCCGCCTCCCGGGTTCCCGCCATTCTCCTGCCTCAGTCTCCCCAGTAGCTGGGACTACAGGCACCCGCCACCTCGCCCGGCTAGTTTTTTTGTATTTTTTTTAGTAGAGATGGGGTTTCACCGTGTTAGCCAGGATGGTCTCAATCTCCTGACCTCGTGATCCGCCCCTCTCGGCCTCCCAGAATGCTGGGATTACAGGCTTGAGCCACCGCGCCCAGCCGCCCGGCTAAATTTTTTTTTTTTTTTTTTTTTTTTTTTTGAGACGGAGTCTGGCTCTGTCACCCAGGCTGGAGTGCAGTAGCCGGATCTCTGCTCACTGCAAGCTCCGCCTTCCGGGTTTACGCCATTCTCCTGCCTCAGCCTCCCGAGTAGCTGGGACTACAGGCGCCGCCACCTTGCCCGGCTAGTTTTTTGTACTTTTTAGTAGAGACGGGGTTTCACCGTGTTAGCCAGGATGGTCTCGATCTCCTGACCTCGTGATCCGCCCGTCTCGGCCTCCCAAAGTGCTGGGATTACAGGCTTGAGCCACCGCGCCCGGCCCGCCTGGCTAATTTTTAATTTTCTTGTAGAGACAGTGTCTCCCTAGGTTGCCCAGGCCAGTCTCTAGCTCCTGGGCTTAAGTGATCCTCCTGCCTCATCCTCCCAAAATGTTGGGATTACAGGTATGAGCCACCCCAACCAGTCCAATTTAAAAATTTTATTTTTTTTATTTTTTGGTAGAGATGAAGCCTTGCTATGTTGCCCAGCCTGGTCTCAAATTCTTGTCCTCAAGCAATTCTCTCACCTGGTCTGCCAAAGCACTGGGATTACAGGCTTGAGCATCACACCTAGCTGTTTTTCAGTTTTTTTAATTCCAAAAAACATTTTATTAAGAGGTAGTGTATTGCTCTGCCACCCGGGCTGGAGTGCAGTGATGTGATCAGAGCTCACTGTAGCCTCAACCTCCTAAGCCCAAGTGATCCTCCTGCCTCAGTCTCCTGAGTAGCTGGGACTACAGGCATGTGCTACCATGCCAGGCTAATTTTTAAATTTTTTGTAGAGACTGGGTCTGCCTATGTTGCCTAAGATGGTCCCAAACTCCCAGGCTCAAGCCTCACAAAGTGCTGGGATTACAGGTGTGAACCAACACACCTGGCCCTTTGTCTTTCGTCACAGTGATTTTTGGGAAAAGTTCAGAGAAGTCCCAGTTCTGCAGTCTGATTTGTTCCTGATTTGTGTTGCCTGTAACTGGAAGTTGGTCTGAAGGCCTCAATGAGTCCAGGTTTGAGCTTTTTGATGAAAACCCTGCCCAGGAGTGGCATATATCTTTTATAAATCCACTAGTCGTGTGATGCCAGCTTTTCCTGCTGTTAGTGATGCGCCGTCTGGTCCCTGGCAAGGGCGGTGACATCCGACTTCTCTGTTGAAGGGAACCTGAGACACCCTCTTGGTCAGCTCTCCCAAAGGCGTGTGTCACCCGCAGTGTTGAGTAAGAGGGAAGCTCAGCACCATGAAGTGATAGGCTCGGGTCTAAGGCCTCTGTCTCCCCTTGGCCCTGTGCCCAGATTGCATTTGGTCACCTGGACAGACTGTAGGGCTTAGACCTTGGCTTAGCCGGTTAGGATCACTTTCCTAGGGGGAACATCCTTCCTGCCTTAGTCTCATTCTCTGAGGATAAATGGCAATATTAAGAAGCAGTGCCCAACCCCACTCCATCCCTACTGAGGCTCAGATATGATTGCGGGCAGGGAAGCCTCAGTAGGGATCTGGCCATTTTGCACATCTGTTCTTGAGTGCCTGCTGACAGCATTGAGCCTATCCTAAGAGTGGAATTCAGCTGAGGGCTTTACACTTACTATCTAGTCCTCCATCTAGCCCTATGCAGCAATTGCTATCCTCTCTCTCTCTGTCTTTTTTTTGTTTTTTGTTTTTTTCTTTTCTTTTTTGAGACACAGGATCTCGCTATGTTGCCCAGGCTGGAGTATGGTGGCTATCCATAGGTATGATTATAGCACACTACAGCCTTGAATGCCTGGGTTCCAGGGATTCTCTTGCCTCAGCCTCCTGAATACCTGGGACGACAGGCGTGTGTCATCATGCCTAGCTTGCTATTCTTTTTTTATCCCAAATTTTTAGGACAGGAAATGGTTTTCTAGAAGAAATGTAGTTAGACCTCCATTATCCATAGGTTCTATATCCATGGGTACAACCCACTATGGATCCAAAATGTAGTTAGGCCTAGGATGACTGTGTCTATACTGGACATGTACAAACATTTGTTCTTGTTTTTATTCCCTAAACAACGCAGTCTAACGACAACTTACATAGCATTTACATTGTATTAGGTATTACAGTAGTAATCCAGAGATGACTTACGGTATGTAGAAGGATGTGCAGAGGTTGCATGCAGATACTATGCCATTTTATGTAAGAGACTTGATCTCAGCCACTGAAGTTGAGTTTAAAAAATAAAGTAAAAAAATACATGTAAAGGAGTTGAGTATTCATGGATTTTTGGATTCATGAGGATCCTGGAACCAATCCCCTGTGGATACCAAGGGACAACTCTGATTTACTTCTCAAGACATCTAGCCGGGCACGGTGGCTCACATTTGTAATCCCAGCATTTTGGGAGGCTGATGTGAGAGGATCGCCTGAGTCCAGCAGTTTGAGACAAGCCTGGGCAACATAGCAAAATCCTGTCTCAAAAAAAATTTTTTTTTGGTAATTAGTGGGGAATGGTGGTGCACACCTGTGGTTCCAGCTACTCGGGAGGTGGAGGTGGGAGAATCGCTTGAGCCCAGGAAGTTGAGGCTGCAGTGAGCTATGATTGTGCCACTGCACTCCAGCCTGGGTGACAGCAAGACCCTGTCTCAAAAAAAAAAAAAAAAAAAAGAAAAAAAAAGAAAAAAGACTTCTGGCTAGGGAGTAAAGGAGGCCCTGAGCAGCTTGATAGGTGCTATGCAGCTGGCAGGGGGCGCCATTGCCTGCAGAAGGAGCTAAGCCTATCCTGAACTCCAACTCCTATTGTCCCCACTCAGCTCACTCTTAAGAGGGAATGTCCTCGTCACCTAATGACCAAGAGGAGGTGCTGGATCTGGCTACCTAAGATCAGAGTGGTGAAGCCGTCAGCCCCTGTTGCCCAGAGCTGCTTCATCTGTAATAGGGGGATAGTCATGGCAATCACTTGGGACTGCTTTTGGGAGATTTAAATGGGTCTAGGCCTAGCTCTGATGATCTAGGCACTGTATACCACACAGATGAGGAAGCTGAGGGCTCCAGAGAGGCAGGGTGAACAGCTGGACCTCAGGGAGCCTTCCCAAGCTGAAGGCCTCACACCCTGCGACGTGTGTACCTTCTGCCTGACAGTCCCTGTCTGAGGTGGCCATGGTGTCTGTGTTGAGCTGGGGACGAAGGGAGTCATGGGGGCGGCAGGTGTGGTTGAGTCATTCAGCTGGCTTCCTGGCAGCCAGGCCATCGTGGGTGAGGGACACCAAACTGCTCATGCCACAGCTGATGTATCAGATAGTCCCCTTGTCACTCTTGACTCAGCTGTGCCTGGCCCCCCCTGCAGGGCCACCATCTGTGCATCCTGGGCCAGCGCCCAGGGAACTTTCTGGAACCCCAGATGCTATCTAAGGACATGGGTACAGGGGGTGGTGAAGTTTGAGGTTCCTGAAACCCTCTACCAGGTATGTCTGGCTCTGCTGTTTCTGGCCTGTGACCCCTCAGGCCTTGGTTACCATGTCTACAAAATGGGAACAACAAATCATAGCTGAGTTTGACCCAGGGATTAGATGACATGTATGAACATGCCCAGCCATATCTATTTTTGCTCATCATCCTGCCCCCAGCACAAGGGCCTGGCACACAGTAGGTATTTAGTACAGTTTAGTGGAATGAATGAATGCATTGGGCCTTAGAACACAGCAGAGGCCCTGGGGCCTCAAGGCTATGGTGTGAGGTGGGGGTGGGGACACTGAAGCCCAGCCCAGTTCCCTCTGCAACATCTTGTCACCTGAGGGAGGGGGAAGAGTGTGGGGTCCTACAGAGAGGAGGCATGGGTATGGGGCTAGGGGAGAGGTATCTGCGTTGTTCCTGAGACCTCTGCCCCACTCCTGGACAGACCACTGTCCTGGAGAGGGTGGAGCAGAAACAGGAGAGGGAACACAAATTCACCTAACCGGCCCCATCCAATCAAGGATGATGATGATAAACGTGCTCTTAGTGAGATATTACTGTGTGCCCGACTTGAGCCAACTACTGTTTTGTCTCATAATAACTGTCAGGAAGAGATGATCCCTGTTCTACACAGGAGAAACTGAGGTTCAGCCTAGATAAATGGACATAGGTGAAACAGCTAGCAAGGGGCATAGCTGGGATCTGAAGCCCAGGCCAATCTAGGGGTGGTTCTAGCCTCAATTTATTCCTCCTGAGCAGTCATGCTCAGCCCAGATTGCTGGGAGGACCAGGTGGTGGGAGTGGGGGTGTCTCAAGGTCGTGTCCTGGTGTTAATCTCTGGGGCCCCTGGCCATATCTAGCTTGTGGTGAGTGTCTCTGGACTGTTGGAGCAGCCACTGGAATGCCTGGGGCTTGAGTGGCCCTTTGTGGATGCAGTTCCCTTGGCAATGAAGAAACACTGCTGAGGTCAAGAGCTCAGATTGCCAGAGGGGAAACCCAGCCCTGCTTCTTTGCATGGCCCCCTGCTGGGAAGGGCCACAGCTACCCCCCACCCTCACCCTCTGCCAGACACCCAGAGGCTCTTTCCAGTGGCACAGTTGTGGGGTTGGATGGGACACAGGCAGCCCAGCCAGGATTCCTCATGGGAAGTATGTGCTGGCTCTTTAGACTTATCTGCTAATGGGAGGCTCTGGCTATAACTCCTTCTTCCCACTGGAGTTCGTTCAGGAAGCCAGAATCAGCATGGGGATGCCTAGGCCTCCAAGATCCCCTAGGACCATGGGCAGGCCACCCCTTAGCCCAGCTTTTGCCTACTTTGGAGACCTCAAGGACAAGAGAGCCCTAATCTTACCAAGCCAGGCCCTCCTCAATCCAAGGCCGCCTTAGGCGTTGCCAAGGAAACAGATGCAGCAGCCAAAGAGCCTGGCCCAGGTCTCCATGACAACCTACCACAGCCCACCAGGGTCCATCCATCTGTTATGTCACCTGAGCCCCAAATGAGTGCCCTCCCAGCCCCACCACACTTGTCACAATCAGATGTCACAGTCTGATAGCAGGTCCCTGTCACAAAATACCTCACAGCCTGACCTGTAACCCTCACACCCCTGAGAGATGAGCAAGGAGCTAAGACACTCCTCATACCTTGACCACACCCTGTGTTTATGCCCCTCTTGGGTGGGGGTCTGAACCTCCAGGCCCTAGATGTGCCCTGGGCAGCTGGCTCAGCCTGCAGCTAGAAGGAAGAAGGGAGACCTTGGCGACTCAAAATGGCTGGCTCCTGCAGGCATTCAACACCCGTTGGCCTGGACTTCCCCAACTCTGGGCAACTTCCAGTCCAGAAGCAGAATAACCAGAGCCAGGGCCAGGGCCAGGGCTGGGACAAATTATTTTTAGCAGAGTTGCTGGCAGCTGCCTGGTGGGTGCTGGGAGGTGGGATGGGGACTGAGTTTAATCCCTTCCCTCTTCTGGGCTGGGGTTTCCTCCCCAGGAGTCAAGCAGGTACCTCCACCTGCAACACTGTCAGAGCTGCCCCCACCCCCAGCAGCCCTCTCAGGGCCCCCAGGGGCTCATGGGGTGACACCAACCCTCACCCTGAAAAGTAGGCTCATTAGGGAGAATCTTCAACTCCAGGATGGGGAAAGAGTGGAAAGGATTTTGTGTGAAAGGACACCCCCTAAATTCTAGCTCAGACCTGAACCTCTGGGGAGTGGTTGTCATGGGCAGAGAAGAGGGATCTCTGTCCAGCCTGTAACTCGTTTACTTGCTAAGAGGAAGAGCGGCGACTTGGGGAGAGGGAAGGGAGAATTCACTGTCACGGGGCCAGACCGAATTCTTCTCCTGAGGGCAGTTGCTGCTCTGGGCTGGTTGAGTTTACCCTGCTGCCTGCCTCCGCATCACGTACTCCCCCGGCAACCTCGCGCTCTCTCTCCTCACACACACACTCAGCCCCGGACCTTGCCTACCTGTCAGCCCCTCTATTCCCAGACAGCTACTGCTCCTCCCCTGGGGTGTAGGGCGGGGTGTCGGGTGTGCGAGGTCCGAGGAGGAGGGTGGGGGATTCCCCTGGTGGGGGTGGACAGACACGTCAGCCCCCGCAGCAGCGTGAACCAGGGGCGGGAGCGGGGGCGGGTGGAGGCTTAAATAGGCGACTCTGGAGCCAGAGCCCAGTGCGGGCTGAGAAGGCGGTGGCTGCAGCAGCAGCGGCGGCGGAGACCCAAGAGTCCGAGTCCAGACTACGAGTGGGTGGCATCCTAACCCGGATCCTAGTCCTGAGCGTGTCTGTGTGCGAGTGGGTGAGTGTCTTGGCGGAGCGGGGTCGGGGCGGCTGCAGATAGATGCGCCAGGTCCGGAGGGGTCCCTGGTGAGGGCGCCGCGACCTCGGGGTTGGGGGAGGGCTGCGGCGGGACCTCCGCCCGAACATCCCGCCTGACTCCAGGTTGGGCAGGTGCGCCCCGGGTCCCGCCTCCCTCACGGCTTACACGGTCAACCGGGTTCCTGCTCCCCTAGACGGCCCCGGACACGATGACCCTGAACGGCAGCGACAGCGGAGCGGGCGGGAGCCGCGGCGGGGGCCGGGAGCGCGAGCGCCGTCGGGGCAGCACGCCCTGGGGCCCAGCGCCGCCGCTGCACCGCCGCAGCATGCCGGTGGACGAGCGCGACCTGCAGGCGGCGCTGGCCCCCGGGTCCCTGGCGGCGGCTGCGGCCGGGACGGGGACTCAGGGTCCCAGGCTGGACTGGCCCGAAGACTCTGAGGACTCACTCAGCTCGGGGGGCAGCGACTCCGACGAGAGCGTTTACAAGGTGCTGCTGCTGGGGGCGCCCGGCGTGGGCAAGAGCGCCCTGGCGCGCATCTTCGGCGGTGTGGAGGATGGTCCCGAAGCAGAGTCAGCAGGTGAGCGGATCGAGCTGTTCGCGAGAGGGAAGATCCGGGGCTAGGACTGAGGGCTGAGACCAGGACTCAAAGCCGCAAATACCATGGAAGAATTTATTATTATTATTATTATTATTATTATTATTATTATTATTATTATTCTGAGACGGAGTTTCGCTCTTTCGCCCAGGCTGGAGTGCAGTAGCGCGATCTAGGCTCACTGCAACCTCTGCCTTCGGGTTTCAAGGGATTCTCCTGCCTCAGCCTCCAGAGTAGCTGGGATTACAGGCGCCCACCACCACGCCCGGCTAATTTTTGTGTTTTTAGTAGAGTTGGGGTTTCACCATGTTGGCCAGGCTGGTCTCGAACTTCTGACCTCGTGATCCACCCGCCTTGGCTTCCCAAGGTGCTGGGATTACAGGCGTGAGCCACCGCGCCTGGCCAATACTGTGGAATTCTATTGGTGTTTTCAGAATCACGCCTCTACCTACTCGTTTCATAAATGGGGAAAGGAAAGGAGAAGGGACACCCCCTGGCCTTTGGTAGGGAAGAAATGCCCAGAGTAGACGGCCAGGGCATAGTTATGGCTGCTCTGTGGGATGGGACCGGACATCCCTCCCTGCCTATCAGGGACAGGTCAGAGTTTCGAACCAGAGGGATTTCTAAGAGAGGAGCCCTAGGTGGCCAAGGTCCCTAGGGAGCGGGACAGTCACTATTCTAACTCAGGCCACTGGGTCAGAGCCGCCTTGGGACCCAGGCAGCAGGAGGGCAGGGGGCATTGGAGCAGCCACCTGGGACATTGCTAGCTTGGGGGGCATGTGGGTAGAGGTCAGGCACACCATGCCCTCCAGCCCCCACTTCCCTGCCTGGCACTGCTGTTGCCACATACCAGCATCTGCAAGTGGAGTGGAGGATGAGGAGGGCTCTGGGGAGGAGTTGGAGGGTGTGGCTAGAACAGGAAACCTGGCAGCAGGGGCTTTGACAGTCAGCTAGTAACCTGTTTACTGGTCTCCTGCCTAGGGCACACCTATGATCGCTCCATTGTGGTGGACGGAGAAGAGGCATCACTCATGGTCTACGACATTTGGGAGCAGGTAGGGTACAGGCTGAGACCCAGGGCAGGGGAGGGAGGAGTGAGTTGGGGTAGGGGTCTGGGAGTGCCAGGCTTGTGTCGGGGTCATGATGATTGTTGGGCAGACTGTGTGTGTGTGTTCCCCAGGACGGGGGCCGCTGGTTGCCCGGACACTGCATGGCCATGGGGGATGCCTATGTCATCGTGTACTCAGTGACGGACAAGGGCAGCTTCGAGAAGGCCTCAGAACTGCGGGTCCAGCTGCGGCGTGCACGGCAAACAGATGATGTGCCCATCATCCTTGTGGGCAACAAGAGCGACCTGGTGCGCTCTCGTGAGGTCTCGGTGGATGGTGAGTAGGCAGCAGGTTGCAGGGGGAGGGAGTGCCCAGCTGGGCCCTGATACAGGCAGTCTTGGCTCAGCTTGAGTCCCTGGGGATCATCAGAGGCTAAAAATGTTCAGAAAGAAAACTGGCGGGGAGGGAAATGGGAGAGAGCCGGTGCCTGCTCATAGGGCTCCAGAAGGCCCCAGAGGGGTGGGGAAAAAACCAAATCTGATAGGGGAGCTGGGGGACCGCAGGGCCCTCCTCTCCTGCCCCTCTTGGTCCTGGCCTGGCTGGTTTCGGGGTAAGTGGGTGGAAGAGAGTGTAGGGGAACAGGCCAGGAGGTCAGAGTCCTAGGTCTGGGCCATTCTTAGAGTAGACTTGGCCCTGGGGAAGACCCGTCCCACTTGGCCTCAGCATCCTTTCCTATGGGTCCTGGTACTGAGCCCCTCAGAGGAACCCAGCAGTGACTTGGTGACCTTGCCCCCGCAACCCCAATCCACTGCATCATTCATCATGATATAACCTCTAATTAAAAAATACTAAGTTGTGCCGGGCACAGTGGCTCACGCCTGTAATCCCAGCACTTTGGGAGGCCCAGGCGGGCGGATCATGAGGTCAGGAGATCAAGACCCATCCTGGCTAGCACAGTGAAACCCGGTCTCTACTAAAAATACAAAAAATTAGCCAGGCATGGTGGCAGGCGCCTGTAGTCCCAGCTACTTGGGAGGCTGAGGCAGGAGAATGGCGTGAACCCAGGAGGCGGCGCTTGCAGTGAGCTGAGATTGTGCCAGTGCACTCCAGCCTGGGACACAGCAAGACTCCGTCTCAGAAAAACAAAACAAAACAAAACAAAACAAAACAAAACAAAAAACTAAGTTGTCCAACATACTTCTCATTTTCCTGTGTTTACTACTGTTGTACCTTGTTTAAGTATCAGGCTTCAAATTATTTCAATAAATGGATCTCCTTTTGAGGGCCACTGTTTTGGGGGCTCTTTAAACGCAGGCACTCTGCCTTCTGGGTGACGCAGCAGGGACCAGTACCCTCAGTATAGGAGCTGGGGTCTCTGTGTTTTGGGGGAGGACCCTGCAAATTCTCGAGTGGCAGTTTCCATGGGTGGCCAGGGTTGGTGGGGACTCCTCACTCTCCCACCCTTTATTTACTGGTGCCTGCCTGTCCCCACCCACACAGAGGGCCGGGCCTGCGCGGTGGTCTTTGACTGCAAGTTCATTGAGACATCAGCGGCATTGCACCACAATGTCCAGGCGCTGTTTGAAGGTGTTGTGCGCCAAATACGCCTGCGCAGGGACAGCAAAGAGGCCAACGCGCGACGGCAAGCAGGTACCCGGAGGCGAGAGAGCCTTGGCAAAAAGGCGAAGCGCTTCCTGGGCCGCATCGTAGCTCGTAACAGCCGCAAGATGGCCTTTCGCGCCAAGTCCAAGTCCTGCCACGACCTCTCGGTTCTCTAGGTCCCACCCGCTCTCAGTATGGTGGGAGACGGACGGACGGGTTGGTGGGCTGGCCCAGCCAACTGCCCCAGGTGCCTCAGGGCTGGCTCAGACTCTGGGTCCCTTGGAGCTGCCAGCCGGGCACCACCAACCTCATGGTCATGGACAGACAGACAGTGTTGCCCAGTGAGGCCAGGGGCCAGTGAGGGCTGGGCCCACAGAGATGCATGCGCAGGCTCATCTGCGTCCCAAGCAGCTGGAGCGCAGCCGCGGGGCAGGCCTGTGTGCCGGGAGAGGACTCTGACTTTTTTCACAACCCGGGTGTGCCTGCCCTGGAGGGAGGCTGTTCAGTGCTGTGGCTATTTGTTTACATGCAGATTTTTGTAATAAAGACTATTTCCTGATATGTCATGACTGTTGACTGTCTTTCCTCCTATCTGGGCGCTTCAGGAGCTGGAAGGATTTCTGAAGTTGAGGGATGGGGGCTCACTGCCCCACCCTAGTGTGTGGCCATGATGTGTTAATGTGGGGGTCCGGATACAGCCAGCTGGGATGGGCATCGGGTCTGGCTGGGGGTTCAAGGAGCAGGAGACACAAACCCCTCCCAGTCCCTGTTATCCAGACTCTTCTCTTTCTGCATGGGGCCTGGCATTGCCCAACTGATTGAGGGTTCAATCACCTCACTGTCCACAAAGGGAAACTGAGGCTGCTCAAGGGAGCACATTCTGCTCTGGGTCTCACAACCAGGCAGGAACCCTGAGTCTCACAACCAGGCAGGAACCCTGGGTCTGGCTCCACAGCTGGTATTTCTGCCCTGTTCCCTCTTGAAGGACTGGAATCAGCTGAGGTTGGGGATAAAGAATGCCGAGGGATGGTTTGTGAAGGCACACACAGGCACACTCAGCTCCACATGGCTCCTCCACCTCTTCGCTGGGGTTGAGCTACTGAGGAGGCCCTCACTGTTCTCTCCACCATGAGTATTCAGGCAAAAACATTTCATGCTCAGCATTGGCTAATTCAGTTTTGGTGGGAGCAGCTGCCTGGAGCCTGCCCTGCCTGGAATGAGAGGTCTTGCATTTGTATAGGAAGGTGTACTCGTGCTTGTGGTTGGGGATGCACCTGTCTCCCTGCCCACCCATGCCTGTGGCTCCCTCACGCTTGGCACAAGTACTGCTAAGAGTTTTTATCTACATGGTCTCAGGAAAAATTGTCCCCATTTGGTGCTGGGTGGGAAGTGGCTGAGTGGGGACTGGTATACAGGTCTGCCCATCTCCAAAGCCTGGAGGCAGCCTGGGGCGAGGTGGGGGGCAGTTTCTAAGAAGGTTCTGGGCCAGGGTCCATACGTTCCTTCCTTAGTTCAATTTATTCATTCCACAGACTCCAGGGAGCCCTGGCAACCTGGTTAGAATCCTGACTGCAGCTTGTTGAATTGCAGGAGGAGGCTTGAGGGCTGCCCCTCCATGTACCAGGGAGTGCTGAGATTCACCCACGTGCTCCCCAGGGCAGAGGTAACTTCTCAGAGCTGTTGCTGCTCTGCCCCTCCTCCCAACATACTTCAAGGAATACAGAAGGCATGGTATTTTCAGAGCAAGTGAGGGTCCTCAGGCCTTCCTGGCTCTGTCACTTATTGACTGTGTGACCGTAGGCAAACCACTCAGCTTCTCTGTGCCCCAGCGTGTGACATGGGTACAATGCCTCTTCAGAACACAGTATGTGGCATAATGAAGGTATGTGCTCAGAGCAGTGCTGCGCACATAGCAGGAGCTTAACACGTTTGAAACCCCCTTCAACCTCTCCACAATGCACTGCTCCTGGCTGGGTGCCAGAGTGACCCTGAAGCAGGCACTCAGCTTGTGACAAGGCTGGGGGCAGCTGGGGGTAGCTTCTGACCTGAGAGAGACTAATCAGGTACACAATGGGAAGGACTTCACGGGGACTATGGGAGGCTTCGTGGGGACCAAGGCTGGGGAGAGACTGGAGACCAAGATCTTCCCACCCTCTCCCCTCGTTCCAGACTCCCAGGCCTCAGAAGTGTCTCCTGGCTCTGCTTGGCTGCCCTCATTGCGGGGAGAGCCCCTGTTCAGTCCTGTAACTCCCTCAAGGTCACCTGAGCCGGTTTAATCTTCTTAGAGACACAAGACCACCCATTGTCTCAGCCCTGTCACTGTTGAGTGGCCAGTGTAAGGACTTGGGGAGCTCACAGGCTGCTGCACTCCCCCACCACAGGTCCCCCTGGGGGGCGGTCTGGAGCACCAATGCCCAGTTCCACTCATGCACTGCTCACCCATCCTTTGACACCTCCAGCTCTTTGTCTTAGTTCCACAAGCCATGGGGAGTTGCCAGGGCAGAACGAGAGCCAGGTCATTTCTGAGTCCCTGAGTTCTGCTCTCAAGGGGCCCCCAGTCTAATGGAAGACGCAGACAATGACAATCTGGTGTCCTCTGTGTATTAATAGAGATAGCACATGGCATGGCGTGAGGGGGTGGGGCGTTCCCAGAGGAGACTCCTGAACCAGCCTGGGAACACAGGGGAAGTTTCCTGGAAAAAGGAGTATTTGAGCTGAGTACTGAAGCATGAGCAGGTGCTTACCACACAGATGAACGAGTGGGAAGGGTGTTCCATGCACAAAGAACAGAGTGTGCAAAGGTGTGGCTGCAGATGCTGGAGCCTGGGAGATAAGTGAGACCAAGTCTGGAGCCACAGAAAAAATAGTGTCCAGACCCAGAGGGCCAAGGAATACCCCCTAGGCTGTGTTGGGGTCAAGGGAGTGCCAGGCCAACCATCTCCCCACCTCCCGGGGCTGGCAGTCACGGATGCTGAGCAGCTCCTAGCTTTCCAAAGTCAATGAGTAACTTGGCAGACTGGGCGGGGCCAGGCCTGCTACTATGGGCCCAGTGGCCTTTTCCACTCCTGAGCAAGCGTGGCTGAACCCTCCTACCTGCTCAAGTGCCCTGCCTTGCCCCACCCAGCCCAGCCTGGCCAGAGCTCCCTGGAGAAGAAGCCTTTTTGCTTAGCAGCTGGACCAAGGGAGCCAGTCTTGGGCGCTGGAGGGTGAGGGGCTGGGAGTGGAGGGGAGGGCATGGCTGAGGCTGGGGTTGGTGGTGGGAAAAGGAGAAACACTGCCCTGTCCTCGCTGTCTGGGAAAGAATTCCCAGGGCCTCATCTTAGAGAGGTTGTTGATTTGTTGCTGCTCTGTTTGCCCAGCTCCATGACAAGGGCTGGAAAATGATGAGACAAGAGCCAGGCTCCTGCTCCGGGGGGTCTCCTTGTCTAGAAGGTGGCAGTGGGAGGCAGGACAGTCCAGGAGGCCCTGAGCTAGGAGGAATCCTCCTGTGGTCAAGTCCTCTGTGACCTTGGCCAGACCCCAGCGTTCAGGCCTTGCCAGCAACAAGAGGTGACTTCAGGAAGTGATGCTCCAAGTCTTCAGGAACTTTCCAGCTTCAAACTTTTGTGATTTGGGGGGTTGCTAGAAAATTACCACTTTGGGATCTGCAAGTTGGGGAGGCTATGGTGGGAAGGAGCTGAAGGTCTAGAGGTGAAATTCTGATAGAGTGCTTGAGGGGCCAAGAGCCCAGACGCAGGGTGACTGGGCCTGGGGGCCTTGGTGGGCCTGGCTGAGGAGCAGGGCACTACCCTGCAGCAGATGGGGAACCTCAGCTCCTTTGCAGGGGAGGAAGAGGAGGCTAGCCTGCAGTGCGATCTCGCTAGTTGTGTGTGTGGGATGGAAAGCCCCTCCCCACCCACCTGGGCTGGCTCCTCACTGCTATGTCCCTTAGGCCCATCCTGACCATGGTCCCTGCCTGGCTGTGGCTGCTTTGCATCTCTGTCTCCCAGGTGAGCTGGGCACTGCCCCCTCTCCTTCAGGTCTTGGCCTTGGGGGTTGATACCCTTGCCCCTAACTCCACCCGGACAAATTGCACTGACTGTGAGAATGGTGCAAAGCATGGGAGGGGTCAGAGCTGGGACTACAGAGCTATCGTGGGATGAGGAGGTCAAAGGCCAGAGCACAGGTGGATGGAATAAGGTATGGCCAGGCCCTGGGAAGGGGCAGAAATTCCCCTCTTCTGTTGGGTCCCAGTGCCCAGGTGGGAAGACAGAGCCTGGTGACAAGGTGAGGATCCTCCCACAGGCTCTCCCGGAGGCCCAGCCTGCAGAGCTGTCTGTGGAAATTCCAGAAAACTATGGTGGAAATTTCCCTTTATACCTGACCAAGGTGAGCCAGAGAGCTGGGGGGGGTGGGAAGGTGGGGGGATCCCTCCCCACAAAGTCCTGCTTCTTCTTCTTCTGGCACCCTTCCTCTTGCTGTTTCTCTTTGAAACCCTGCTTTCCAGAGAGTTATACATGTTATCCATGTTATACAGGTTGAGTGTCCCCTATCTGAAATGCTTGAGACCAGAAGTGTTTCAGATTCTGGAATTTTTTTCAGATTTTAGAATATTTGCATATACATGATGAGATATCTTGGGGAATGGAACCCAAATCTAGACACGAAATTCATTTATGTTTCATATACACCTTATACACATAGCCTGAAGGTAACGTTATACATTTTTTTTTCTCTTTTGAGATGAAGTTTCGCTCTTGGCCCCCTGGGCTGGAGTGCAGTAGAGCGATCTCAGCTCACTGCAACTTCCACCTCCTGGGTACAAGAGATTCTCCTGCCTCACCCTCCTGAGTAGCTGGGATTACAGGCATGCACCACCACTCCCAACTAATTTTTTTTTTTTTTTTTTTTTTTTTTGTATTTTTAGTAGAGACAGGGTTTCGCCATGTTGGCCAGGCTAGTCTTGAACACCTGACCTCAGGTGATCCGCCCATCTTGGCCTCCCGAAGTGCTGGGATTACGACTTTGGGATTTGCGAGCTGGGGAGGCTATGGCGAGAAGGAGCTGAAGGTATAGAGGTGAAATTCCAGTAGAGTCCTTGAGGGGCCAAGAGCCCAGTGTGCGTCACTGCTCCTGGGTGAATATTTTTAATGATTTTGTGCATGAAACAAAGTTCTGACTATGTGTTGACTGTGACTTGTCACATGAGGTCAGATGCGGCATTCTCCACTTGTCACATCATGTTGACGCTCAAAAAGTGTCACATTTTGGAGTATTTCAGATTTCAGATTTTCAGGTTAGAGATGTTCAACCTGCAGTGGGAATGACTAACAGATTTTAATCCTAGCAGAGAATACAGCTTTAGGTTAAAGAATGAAATCTTGGTGGTGAGGTTTCAAGCTTCAGAAAGAAAGGCAGGGAGTTTTGGGGTGCACCAGGTCCAGGGAAAAGAGTTCTGTCTCTGAGTCTCAGTCCTGATGCTTACTGACTGTGTGACCTCAGACAGGAGCCAGATGTCTCTGAGACTCAGTTTCCCCACATGTAAAATGAGGCCATCAGGTGGAGGGGGGTCATCTCCCAGG